GCGGCATTAGGAAGGTTGAAAAGCACTGTACCATCCACAAAGGCCAGAAGACTAAACAATCCACAAGAGATGGGGCACAGTGCATGGAGACCCTTGACTTGGTGAGGGGCAAGAAGACTCACCTTGGTGAGGTGGGAAGACTCACCTGTATGTCACTTGCTTCTGTAACATGGCGTCACTAGATTAAATTTGAGCATGGAACACTCAAAATCAGAGGAGGACCAGCCCTGACCACGGACCCTGGCCTCTAAACACCCATGTAGACAGAGGTTAAAGGATAGACAAACAGGGGCTAGAGACATGGTTCAGTCGGGAATTCTCCCAAAGCCGTTCCTGAGGCAGGGGGACTCCTCTAGGCAGGAGGACTGGGAACAGTGAGCACCCGGCTCTTCTTGAAGGCATAATGGAACTGTCCACGCCTGTCTCTAGGGGAAGTAAAGGTGACAATAGCTGTAAAGAAGGGAGGTGAGGCCAGCTCTGTCTCGGGGGCTGGAAGCCACCAACCCCACTGAGACGCTGTCAAAGCAGAGTGGGGAAAATCCTAGCGGAAGAGGCATCAGCATCCCGTCGGCTAAAAATAACTGCACTTACTAGTTTACGTGAGATACCACGGGACTGGAAATGGACTGTCTGAAACAGAAGCACCCGACACGTCTCCGCTGGTGGTGAGCTCTGCTTTAAAGAAGCGCAGGAGGGGCTGTGTGCACGTGAGCCAGGCCCCATCTTCCCGCTGGGCTTTTTAGCAATGCCTGTCTGCCAGTTTTGAAGTCAGCACTCTTCATCCTCCTGGCTTACAGAGGGGAGCAGCATCGTGGTGACATGGCCATGGTGTGCCACTCAGAAAGAGGGTCGGAAGAGCGCATGCTGCTGAGGCACCGAATTGAGCCTCCCCTATGCACCGGTAGGAGCCTTCCGCCTTCTGAGCTGGGCCAACCCTCCCGCCCTCCCGCAGGTCCTCTCAGCTGAGCCTCTCTGCCTTCAGGTTCTCTTATTCTGTCTGTCTGTACTAACAAACCCCAGGAGGGCTCAGATGAGCAGCTTGAGAGTACATGGGAACTCTCCGGCCAGCCTGTTTGCTTTAGCCAAGGAGGTGGGCCTTCCCTCAGTAACCTGTCCCCCCTTGTCACTCTGTAATCCATCAAGTCCCCTCATGGGGAAGGGCAGCCGCTCCACCAGGGAACCTGGAGGGCTGTGAGGAATGGCTTACACCGTCCATCTCAGGCAGGACAGCAGGACAGCAAGACACAGGGACAGCTAGCTGTGTGAGCACCAGGGATGCAGCTTTCCTCAGTGGATACTCACGATGAGGTGAGCTTTCTACACTGCAGTTGCTTTTGAGTCAGTCAAGGGTAACCCCAGGAAACTCGCCACCAAGCTCGACTTGAACAGAGTCATTTCTTATCCTGTCATTGGTGTCCTAGCTGAGGTAAGGTGCTGGTTCACATCTCACTAGGAAAATCTTACAGTGCGTGGGAGGGCACACACACACACACACACAAACACACACACACAGAGGCGCACACACAGGCATATGCACACACAAGCACACATACACACAAGCACATGCACACAAATAGGTACACACACACAAACACACACAGAGGCGCACACACAGGCATATGCACACACAAGCACACATACACACAAGCACATGCACACAAATAGGTACACACACACACAGGCACACACAGGCACACGCATACACAGGCACATGAACACACAGGCACACGCACACACACAAGCACAGGCACACATACAGGTACATACACACAGGCACGCGCGCGCACACACATACACAAACAGGTACACACACAGGCACACACACACACAGAGGCACACACAGGCATATGCACACACAAGCACACATACACACAAGCACAGGCACACACACAAGCACACACACATACAGGTACACACACACATGCACACACACACACACACACACACACACTTCTCTAATCCGTTTGAGAGTAGGTTGTAGACATGATACCCTTCACCCACAGAGACTTTACTGTGCATTTCCTAAAAACAAGGATGTTCTCTTACCACGGTAGCAGTAATTATCAAAATTGATATCAAACTGTTCAATTCACAACCCATATTCAAATGGCGTCAAATAGAGCTGTTTTTTGCTACCCAGGAAACAATCTGGGATTGGATTTCATTATCAAGTCTCTTATCCCATTTTAATCTTGGACAGTTGCTTAACCTTTCTGTTTTCTGATTCTCTGCAGCTTAATTTATTTTAGTGTGGTGTGTGTGGGGGTGTGGTACCATGTGGGGGGAGTGTCTGTGTGTCTGTGTGTGAGGGGGTACTGTGCAGGGGGGGAGTGTCTATGTGTGTGGTGTATGTGTGTGAGGGTGTCTGTGTGTGTGAGGGGGTGTCTGTGTGGTGCTGTGGGGGGAAGTGTCTGTGTGTGTGATGTATGTGTGTGGGAGTGTCTGTGTGAGTGGGGGTCTGTGTCTGTGTGGTGCTGTGGGGGGAGTGTCTGTGTGTGTGATGTATGTCTATGTGTATGTGTGGTGCTGTGTGGAGGGGAGTGTCTGTGTGTGGTGTATGTATGAGTGGGGGGGAATGAGTGTGTGTGTGTGATATATATGTGGGGGTGTATCTGTGTGTCTCAGTGTATCTCTGTGTGTGTGCAAGTGTGCATGCCTGAGCACACTTGTGTGGAGGCCGAGGGAGGATGTCAGGTGCTGTCACTGTCTCCTGCTCCCTTCAGACAGGGTTTCCCTTTGAAATTCACTGTTCCAGCTGGTATGGGCTCTGGAGCTCCCCAGGAGCAAGGCTACCTCCAAACCACGAACAGGCTAGAGATTTGAAAATGAGCCTAGCCAGGACTAGCACAAGAGCCACAAAAATTGTGGGGCTACCAAGCTGTCATTTCAAGTCACTCTGCTTTGGGGTGGCACATTATGTCACAAAAGCTAAAGAGGGCCTGTTCCCTTGAGATCACTAGAGGACAAGGTTCTGGTTCCATTGTCTTTCCCTCAGGGGCCCGACACTGCCAAGGTTTGGGATGCAAAGGGTCATTTGAATTTACTTACATGGCTGTTAAAAAGAGAAAGGAGAGAGGGAGAGGGGGAGAGAGCTTGATTGATTGATTGATTGATTGATTGATTGATTGATTGATTGATTTTGCTCTCTCTAGATGTTTGCAAACACAAGGCCACATCTCTTGGTTATGTGGTTGGGCTGACAGAGAGACAGATGGCTATGATGGTCTTCCATATAATCCAGCAAATGCAGACCTTTGCCTAGGCAGAGAGCTCATACTGGAAGATGGGCTTGTCACGGGTGACTGTGTGAGTGTTTTGCATGGATGTACGTATATGCACCATATGTGTTCCCGGTATCTTCAAACGTCAGAAAAGGGTGTCTGGTTCCCTGGGACCAGTGTTACAGACAGTCATGAGCCTCCATACGGGTGCTGGGAATTAAACCTGAGTCCTCTGCAAGAGCAATAAGTGCTCTTAACCTCTGAGCCAATTCTCTAGCTCAGAAAGAGGATTATTTTTAAGTATGCCCTTGACTAGGAAGAGAGACTGAAGTGTAAGCTGTGACTATCAGGATCTGTAGTGGACAAGGACAAGGCTCTGTTCTTGTTTGTTTGTTTGTTTGTTTGTTTGTTTGTTTGTTTTGAGACAGGGTTTCTCTGTGTGGCCCTGGATGTCCTGGAACTTACTCTATAGTCCACCTGCCTCTGCCTCCCTAGTACTGGGATTAAAGGCATGAGCCATCACCATCCAGCCCAGGGCTCTGGTTCCCTAGAGACCTGGATCTTTCCAGGCACAAGCTCCTGGTGGGCACATGTACCTCTTTGTGAGATGGTGGGACTTGTACCAATGCAAACAAAAACCCATTATCAACATTTTCTGACACACCCCTTGACCAATGATGGACAGCTATAGTGGTATATCTACCCCAGCCCCGACCCCAGTCAGGAAAACCATGATTATGTACTGTGAGGATTAATCTTCTTATCAACTTAACTGGATTTAGAACCACATAGGAGACAGCTCCAGGTGTGTCTGTGAAGGTGACTGACTGAGGAAGCAAGACATGTCCTCAGAGTGTCCTCAGTGTCATCCTATAACCTCTGGGAAGAGAAGAGTCTGAGGGACAGCAGCATTTGTCCCTCTCTGCTTCCCAGATGTGAACATATGCCCACAGTGGTCTGGAGCTCCTGCAGCAAGATGGACTCTACCCTCAAACTGTGAACCAAAGTAAAGACCTACTTCCTTATATCATCTGTTGTCATAGCAATGATACAGTAACCATACATGCACACCGCCTCCAGAGGTTCTTGATACATACACACTGCCTCCAGAGGTTCTTGATATATGCACACCATCTCCAGAGGTTCTTGATACATACACACTGCCTCCAGAGGCTCTTGATACATACATACTGCCTCCAGAGGTTCTCCATACATACACACCGCCTCCAGAGGTTCTTGATACATGCACACCGTCTCCAGAGGTTCTTGATACATGCACACCATCTCCAGAGGTTCTTGATACATGCACACCGTGCCAGGGATTCTCTGAGACAATGCCTCCCACCACACACCTCTCTGAACTTTCTTACTATTGTATCATTGCTTGGCCACATTCACTTTGCTATCCAGGCTCTCACAGCTTTATCTGCTTCCCTAATTAGACTCCTTCTAAATAGCTTTCACTGTTTTTAATACTTGTTGTTTTTTTTTAAATTATGTGTGTGCACATGTGATTGCCAGTGCCCACAAAGTCCAGAAGGGGGTATTGGAGTCCCTGGAGTTAGAGTTCCAGGCAGTTGTAAGCCACCCAACATAAGTGCTGGGAACCGAAGGTCCTTTGGAAGAGCAGTTAGTGATCTTAGCGTCTGGACCATCCCTCTATCCACCCTGGGAAGACTCAATAAAGTATGTGCAGTGTGTCACCTCAGTGTGTTCGTCTAGACAGCAGCTACCCCTCACGCCCTCCAGGACTCTTACAAAGACTGACCTTCATCCTTAATACAAAGAGCATTGTACTTGGCACCAGGAACTGGGCGGCTGTCAATTCTCACATCAACGGCTCTGGCGATTTGCTGTTCATCGCTGCCTTTGCTGCACACAGTTGTCCTGAAACAGACAAAGGCGGACCCTGGGTGAGGAGAAAGTCTTCGGGCTGAAAGGAATCCTTTTCTGCTATCAGCTCTGAGTCAGCAGAGATTTGGGTGATTTGTGACCTTTGGATGGGAGCACCCACAAGAAACATTCTCCACAGACAAAGGTCACATTTTGGAAGATAGGTGATCCTGGGGTAACTCGGAGGCATCAGCTCAATGTTCAGAGGCAACACTTTTCTGATCCCTTCTACGGTCTTTTTCTTCACTATGAAAAAATTCATCAAATGAATCACTTGAGTTTATTTTCACATTCTCTGTGTTTACTTTGTGTACATGTGTGTATGAGGATCAGAGGATCTTCTACCATGCAGGCCCCAGGTTCTGAACCTAGGTCCTCAGGTTTGGCAGTAGGCACCTTTACCTGCTGAACCGTCTCTCCAGCCCTCGTTTGAGTTTTTAAAGGGTTAATACATGGGCTGGAGAGAAGGGCCAGCGGTTGAATGCTTGCTCTTGCAGAGGACCTGGGTTTGGTTCCCAGCACCTCGATATGGTAGCTCACAGCCTCCCATAACTCCGGTTTCAGGAGATTCTAAAAGACTAAAAAATCCACTAAAATTATGTAAAATTCTTTTATTTGCAAAGAAGAACCTAAATCAAGTAAATTTGTCACTCCAGGTCAGCAATTGCAACCAAAACACTTAAAAATTAGCAGATTATTTGAGAACAGAAGGCATGAAATGACATGTGTCTTGCATAATGGCACACAACTGTAGTGCCAGCTACTTGGGAAGCTGAGGCAGGAGGATTACTTGAAATACAGACTTTGAGAGCAGCTTGGGCAGCATAGTACTCCTCACTACCACCTCCCCTAAAAGACAGGTGGCACCCCAGTGGCGAGGCAGTGTGGGGACATTGCCCACCGTGCCCTGAACGTTAAAAGCTTGGTTTGTACAAAGTACCCTGGCACCATGGTGACCAGGGCATCTTCCACAGAAGAATATCTGACTTTCCCAGACTGATGCCACAGCCCAACAGCTTCCTTAGTGAGACATTTCAGAGGCGTGGTGGCATTCTCTAAGCACTGGCCTTCCATTTGGGAGTGAGGTTGGGTGGGAGATGTCTTAGGCGAGGGACACAAGGTAAAGGTTCTGTAAATGGCATGCTTCACTCCCATCCTCCCTGGGCATGTCTCCAAGAGCCAACTGTGAGCAACCTTCACCACGTGACTCAGGAGGGAACCACTCCATATTGTCAGGCAGTCCACACCTCAGCAAGGAGAAGGCAGTCCTTGTCATAAAGCGCATCCCCGTTACAGCTGACAATGTCACACTGAGCTAAGGAACCAATGTGCCCCCTTGGGACCAGTGTCCACAGACTCATGGTCAGTGGCCGCCATCTTCCCTGGCAAGTTCTGGAATGTCCTAGAATACTTGCTTTCTAAGTGGGCAGGGTGGATTTCTATGTGACATTCTTGGGCGAGAGCTCCTTTTCAGGGGGGCTTTCTTGTAAGGGCTTTTTTTCTAGGGTGTTCTGAGAAAGCTTGCGGGTTGTTCTGAAGGTTCAGCTTTTTCTGAGGAGGCTTCATCTGAGGGGACTTTTTTCTGAGGGAGCTTCTCCTGGGGGCCTTTATTCTGGAGCCAGGTTGGGTGGCTCTTAGTCTTTGGAAGGACACCTCGAGCTCGCCTGGCCCACTTCAGCTTCAACAGATTCCCTTGAGTAGCAAGGCTTAGCCAAGACACCGCTGCTCTCCTGAGCAAGGCCCTTACTTCTCTGACCCCATGCTGGAGGAACAGCTGTCTTCTTGGGAAGGGAGAGGTCTTCCAAGGGACACCTGCTCTCGGGGTTTCCCGTCCTTTGGAAGCTCTGAGTACCACTGAGGCACCTCACTATGTGGTGGTTCTTTTTATTCAGAAAGCCTCTCTGAGAACCATTGCTCCTTGACAAGGGTTCCAAGCTTGGCGTCTCCTTCCAAAGCCTTTGACGGGAGGGAGATTCCCTAAAGCCCAGATTCTGCAGTGCAGAAGACGTGAGGACTGCCTGGGAGGAGAGATGGGAGGGGTGGCCTGTGGGTGGGGCAGTGCAGAAGACGTGAGG